ATTGTGTTCTGACTAAGCAAATACAAACTCATGATCTTCTAAGGAGGCTTGTTTACTCCATGATTCTTCTGTAAAAGTTCATAGGTTAAGTTGCTAATTAAACTGTAGGAGAGGGTGACTGCTTAGAGCTTATTAAATTTAGCAGACCTTGCTTTCCATGGAGCAAGGATTTTACTGCTACTCTGAAGAGGCACTTTGTTATTTTAAACTAATGTCCAATCCTAAAAAGATGTTTGTGGTGTGTCTAGTTTGTAGCTGGTGCTATTGCTTGTGTACTGAAATGAGTTGGTATTGATCCAGATTCTTCCAAATTGTTTGCATTACACTGTGTTTCTTCTTAAAAGAAGGACTTCATGGCACTGACTTTCTTGCTCTGTCTTGGACTAACTTTTCAACATTCTCATCACTAATATAAAAAATAAAGAGGGCAATGCTGAAAGTATTTTGAAACTACTTGTGTATCTTAGAAGTGTGTTATGCAATGAAGCAAACCATGTGGGACTGCTGGCCAGGTTAGACATAAGCACTTTTTGGAGAATGTGCTGCCGACCAGCATGTTTTCCCTGCTTGATTCTGTTGTCAGCTGCCTGTCAGCAGTGTCTCCCATAGAAGCAGGATGCTCACCCATAGCTGTTGTGGCTGTTTGGGGCATTCAAGATAAAACAGCTCATATTTGCCTGTCTTGCTGGTAGGCATAGTACTCAGCCAGCAGGGAAAAATATATGTGATAGAAATAGCTTGTAATTTGTAGGTTAGTTCGTCCAATGACAACAGGAATTATTCTTGCCATCTTTAAATTTGTTGTTAATGTGTTGTAGACTTGATCAATAATTTACACACCTCAAGATTCAGCTGCCTGGGCATTTAAATAAATTTAGAAGTAATATATAAATTCCTGTGACATCGTATGTAAGGTCATCAACATCAGACATGGCCAGAAATTTATTAAAATTTGGCTTTGACTCAAATGCAGAATGAACTGAGGAAGGAAATAGGTGAAGTCGTGTTGATTGAGTTCCTCAAAAGGACCCATGTGGTTATAGGGTCTGGCTTTGCAAATTATAGGACTGGATAACTGAATTGCAGCTGTTCTTTTTTTTTCTTGCTTGCTTTCTGTGTTTAAATTGGTTACATTTCATGATCTGAGTTATGTTAGTGCAAGTAAATGGTAGGCACTGTTAAATTTGCTGACTTGCTTCATCAGTAATACTTGAGAAATCTTGTTGGCTGTACTCTGATGGCAAGCAACAAGGCTCAGCAAGGATCAGTGCCTGTGTGCTGCTCTCCCACTCACCCAGGAGCTGAGCTGGACAGGAGGTGAGCTGTGAAGGAAGTGAAGCTATGGTACCTCTTCAAGCTTTCATAGAAGGCTTTCATAGGTGGCTGGAGTTTGCCAGGGAAGTTAGCACAGTGCTGTGCCAGTACAAGTTGCATGGCAGTGAGGAATCCCATGGTGAAGTATCATGAGCTTTTCCAACTTTTTCCAGACGTGTCAAGGCTCCCTCTAGTGAAAAAGGAACAGAAGAGGCATGAAGAGTGGTGATGGCATATCACGTCTCTTGTTAAGACTTGCTTGTTGTGTCTTTTATACATGGTGAATTTCTGGACTTATTCTACAGCTCCTGTTTGGAAGAAATATGGGTGATGAACTACCAAGAGGCCTGTTCATCTTGTGTTGATGAAGAACAGTGGTGCCAAGGCTTGGGAAGGGGAAATAATTGTCCTGTAATGAGTTTCTTAGGTCACTCTCACCAGAGATGTTATTACTTTTGAGTAAGCAGAGAAATTCCTGCTGAGCCAGTGTTTGAAAAACATGAAAAGAAGAATGTGATCTAAATCCAAAAATATAATACCAGATCATGATTTCTTCATTTAATTTTATTAAAAACAAGGTACTTCTGGTGTCTTTGGACTACATCTATTTAAATACTGCTGAGAAGGTACAAAGGCATTATAAGAACTGAGTGCTAACTAGGGAGCAGGACAGGGAAACCAGGATGGGGGGAGCAGCACAGAGTGATGGAATGGTGTAAATCATGTGGGAAGGAAGCCTTGGATTCCCCTCCTGTTCAGAGCTAGCCCAGCTTCAAAGCTGGAACCAATTTAGGATGAGATTACTCAGGGCCTTATCTAGCCACTCTGAATATTTCCAAGAATGGAGATTCCATAGCCTTGCTAGGCAACCTCTTCTACTATCTGCCTGCCCTCATTGTGGATAGAAATCTCCCAGCTCTCTAATTCCCTGTTATGAAGCATTCATTAGTATAGATTGTTTTGAATGGTATTGCTGCTTCTTGATGATTCTTATGAGGCAAAACATTTAAACTCTCACTTTCCAAATTAACATAAACCACTGTGTTGTGCAAAGCTGCTGCTTCTCTCCTAGCAAGTCCAAAGATTGCAGAAAGTTTTTTGTTTTGTGTGTGTGACCTCATCTGTGAAATTCCTATCTCTGCATTATGTGGTTACATGGCTGCGCTTTTCTGTTCCTCGCCTCTTACCATTCACAGGGGAAAAACTTTTCAGAAATGGAGAACTTGCTCAGGAATTACAGCAGTGGAGGTAATTCATCTAGGCTGGTGAATTTCTTTCATGGGAAATAATTCGAGGCTTAAAAAGTGCAGGTATGGTATGATGGAAAACTTTGTGTCCCAAATAGCCCTTGAGCACTTCTGGAATAGAGTCCTTTTTCTTACTTTTAATTATGGAGTTATTAATGACTAAAAGCCTGCAGATGAAAATTTGTTGACAGTTTGTCAGCCTCTGGAGAATAAAGCTGACAACGTGCTTTCATTTTTACAGCTGACAACGTAATTACGTTCCTGCTGGTAGCTGCTGCCTATGGATTGAAAGTTAAATGGGCTGCTTCGGTCTTGATTGGAAAGGATATAGCTTAAAAATATTTGGGCTGCACGATGAAAAAGAAATTTGTTTCTGCTATTGTTTATTTATTCATTTGTTTGAAAAAAATCTGCAAGTTCCTCTTCCTATCTTTGCATGTATGCCCAAAATTAGAATATAAACTTAGGTTAAATTGCTGTCTCTTTATAATACAATGCTCCTTGTTCCTCTTAGAAGAAAAAGGTGGCTGCTTTGTAGATGTTAACACTGCAGAGTTGATGTAACCGCTTTCTCCAGACTTCTGATTTCATGGGAATGCTGAGGAATTCGCTTCACATCTCTGCCACAGGCTCAGTTCATTGCTGGGGCAATGAGCATTGGCCTGCTGGCACTGTGTGTTTGGTGGCCTCCTGTTCCTCTCTGTTCTTAATAGCTATAAAGCTGCAGTTTTGTAATGGCTGGGGCTGGGATAAGCCCTTTTGGTGTAATATAAGATGTCACTGCTCTCATTTTATCATGGGCAGTGTTTATTATATTGCTGCTGTATTTATGATGCTTTGTAGCAAGGCATGTTGGAAAAGGAGTGAAAGGTTTACGGTGCAGAAAGCTTCCTCTGCTCTTCGTGGTCTAAGTGGACTTCCTGAGAGCAGTATCAGTAAGAACTGAGAGGAGACTCAGCCTCTTGGGTTCTTTGAGCAAGGCCTGTCCTGAGCTGATGACATCTGAAAGTTGTGGATGCACGAGCTGGTTGACTTTCAGGCGTTCTGTATGCTATAGGAAGGCTGGTATCTTTTTAGAGTGTGTTTACTTTGAAACCCTAAAATATTTCCTTATTCCTGACTGTTTCTTGAGGAATATCTTGTTATGCTGGACTGTTAGGTCACAAGACCTGCTGTGGCTCACCATTATACATCTTCTCTAAAACGAAAAAATGCAGAAGATTTTAGTTGTTGTTGCTTTTTAACAGCCTTAGTGTTTTATAATTTTGTATTTTTGCTTTCTTTAGTTTTAAGCTTTTGTTTTATTTGATGGGAATTCTAGTTTTGGATGTTTGTACCTAACTGTTAGACACTCCTGGTGTAAAATTTCAGAACCTTAAATCAGTGAAGTCATAGTTCACAAGTCCCTCTCATTCCAGGGCTCCCAAACAGTGTGTAATGCACAACCATAGTAATTAAGAAATAAGATCTTTCATATTTTATTTCTTTAAGATTTGTGATTTTTTTTTTTTATAGACTGCTCCTTTGGACAGAGTTTCAGAATAAGGGGCTTACTATGTATGGAGAATTGTGGAAATTGCCTTGTGTCTTCTATACAACTAATTCAAATTGATGTACTTTGGGAGGAGAAAAGACTACTTGTTTATCTTGAAACAAACTTTCACGCTGTATTTTTGCATTATATGAGTACAATTATGCAGATAGATGAATTAATGGACAGCCTTTAATGGACAGTATTACTTCCCAGAGGGTAGCAAAACACGTAATAGGAGTCTGAGGGGCAGAGTTGTTTTAAAAAAAACAAACAAACAAACACACCCACAATTTTAATTCAACTTGGATGAAATACTAAGTAATGTTCTTTTATCTAAGACATGCAACTGAATGACTCACATTATATATAGTCCTGTCCGTGGAGCTGTAAAGAAAAATCATTATGAAGATATATACCATACCAGGGAGAAAAGAATGCATGTAATAAATGACTTCCACAAAACATCTCTGAACTTGAAATATTACAAATTTTGTGGGACTTTGAACTGTCCAGCAGCATATTAGTATATTTTACTTGTCTTCTCTGTGATATTTGCAGAAGTACAAATGAATAATTTGTTTTGTAGTTTCTGTGTTGGTGTTTAAATAATCTGGTTACAATCAGATGTAAATAATCATAACATCAAGTGCATCTCCATTACTAAGGTTTGCAAATAGGTTACTTCTAAAACACTAGCCTGTTTAATAATTAAAAAGGTATAATATGCCATTGACAGTCAACAAGAATGGAGCAAGAAGCTTGGAAATTCCTAAGAGAAATGCTAGAGTAGCAGAAGTAAAGCATCAATATACAGTTCTGCCTTTTGGGGTATCATAGATATATTTTAAGCAGTTCAGCACTTAAATATTAATTTTTTTTCTTTTTTCTTTTTGTTTTCCTTTCAGCCATAATCAGCAGACCACGTCATTTAGACATCCTGTGACAGGACAGGTTTCTCCAGAAAATATTGAATTTATTTTGCAAGAAGAGTAAGTAGCTCTATACCCATGGCAAGAATCCTGAAATAGTGACACATTTACTTACAGTGGTTTAGTGGTTTGACAGTTCTTCTGGTACTATAGCAAAAATGTCATACAGTTGCTTGATGCTTAAAAATTTACTACTACTTGTGACAGTATGTTTTTGATTGTAGCTCTGTTCCACGTTGGGACTGGAGATTGAATCCTTCCCAGATCTTTATTTAAAGAAAAAGGAAGAAAAAAAGAAGAGGCATTTTATATAGGATACTTATATAAAGTTGAGGTGTCATTAAGTACCATCTAAACAGAATAGAAATCTCTAATATCTTCACATAAGCACTGAAATGCTTGTACTGAAACTGGAATACACAAAAATATTATTGTTTTCTGTTGTAATATCTCACATTTCCTTTGTTTTAACTTTTTTACATTCATTGTGTTTTGGGCTGGTATTTAGTTAAAAATGGTTTCTCCTGCATTCCTCAGTTTATTCTGGACACAGAATCATGTATGTTAGTTCCCAGTGTATTTCCTTCTAGCATCACCCATGCTGCGTGCTAAATGGCTCCTGTAATCCCTTCTGTAACTGGATGACTAGGTATATTTCCTATACGAAATTCAGAACTTCAGTGCTACATCACTTATGAATCTGCTCTAAATAACAAGAGGAATAGAGCAACAACATGTATCATTCCCTTTTCCATCTTGGTCTTACAACATTGCCTCAGAAGCTTCCAGCCCTCACTTGCTTCCTTCATTCATCACAGAGCACGGACATCATGCTGTAAAATAGCCTCTTGTGGTGGTTTGTAAGGCTGCCTTTGTGAATTTGAGTGCTTTATTTCAAATTATGTGATACTGTAATTTAATTTACATTTAATTTAAGGCACTATTGCATTAAGAGCACTTAAGTGGTACTGAATTCATTGGCCTAGAGAAGGAAATTGTGAGGCTCCCAAGGGTCTGAGGCTTTTGTGACAACATCTTCTGTTGTGGGTCTGAAGAGGAAGGAGGAGGTGGAGCACAACAATATAGCTTTTTGTGCAGAGATTCTGGAAGGACCCCCAGAAAGTGCTTCTCAAATAGTTTAATAAAACCTGAACACTAAACAAACCTCCTTCCCAAAGGCCCAAAGCAAATCCAAGGGGTAGTCTTCTCTAAAGGCCCATGCTATGAACCAGCACAAAATGGATGAATGTGTTCTGCTGTGGGGAGGAGAGGTCTGTGAGCAGGTGCAAAGAGTTTGGGATAGCTACTGAGAAGGAGAACACACTGTTTAGTGACATGCACGTGGCTTGTTGCTTGGGAAGGGACTGGCTCTTTTACAGGTACACAAAGAAGCTGCTCGAGGTCATTTAGTGGGGAAAACAGATATCTTGCAATGGAGCAACACTTAAGGTCAGTATAAACAACAGACACTATACATCTGTGTTCTGAATTCCAGTCATTAATGGATCTTTATTTGATCTGCTGGACGAGTTTGATCGAATTTATTAGGGAGAAAATTCATATACTTGTGAAGGAAAGTAGGTGTTTGGACAGATCTCCTCAGAGTGCCTCCCTGGGTTACTCACACTTCCACATGTTGTTCCTGGTTTTGTAATCATGGTAGCAGAAAAAGTACTTGAAGCAGAATTGGAAGAACAACTGATTGCACATAGTCATATTGATCTACAGCTATCAGAAGCATTTTTATAAAAAAAATTGGATGTGTTTATTTGGGGGACAATCTAATAAACAGGCATAACTTGTCATAATTTCTTGCTTTGAGGTGATGTCAAAAGTAGAAAAAACAATCTTTCAGTACAGCAGAATTAGTAGAGACAGTAGGTTTTATTTTAAGTGAAGAGGGAATGACAGCAGAGGTATGTATATAGAGAGATGTATTTGTAGTGACTTCTCAGAGAACTGTCTTTGTGAGTTCTCTAAGTTTTATTATTGATCTGAAGTACATAGAGTGTTTTTAAAATTAGATATTTTTAATATATAAGCAAAAATTGATTTAAAGATGGAAACCTCTGGTTTCTTTTATTTTTTTTTGTACTACTACTTCCAACAGTGTAGATTTTATATAAATGCTGTTCATTGTCATCGTACCTGAGTTCCTATCAGATGGCACTGCTGACATATGCAGATGTCTCTTTCCCTTGAGCATCAAGGATTTGTGTGGGATCAGAGTTGTAGATTGCATTTTAATTTGGAATCAGTGTGGTAGATCATATCTTGTGATGAAAGGTTTTTAACTAGCAAGATGCAATTGGAAAGTTTTTACCTGGATTTCCATGATCTGAGCTAACTCTTTCCATCATGGAATCCTTTTGAACAAGAGTGCCTTTTTTTCTGTAGCTCAAGAATCCTGTCTGATGTAGCAGCACTCCTAAGAGCTTCATATACAGCAGTTTCTTCTTCAGTGCTGTTGTGACATGATTTATTCCTTACAGTTTGATTTTAATTTAAGATTAGGGCTAAAGCCTGGAATAGTCACTAGATATTGACTAGGAGCTAGTGGGGAGACCTTGGCAGAAACTTGTTCAGGTTGCAACAAAAGTCTTTATTAAGAGGATACCTTTAACATCAGAAAAGTAATTTACAGTAATGTAGAGATGATGGATGCATGCTCAGGCCGTTCCTCATCCAATCAGCATACTGGCAAGGAAAGAAGAGATTTGTAAAATGATGTCATTGAATGATTTCATCCTAGCGTACTTATGACTCAGTTATGAACCAGAAGCCCTTGTCTCACTTGATCAAATGAGAACTGGGTGCTTTCAGCAGATAGCTGAGGTTGTCCCTCACTAGTGCTTTCCCAAGTAATTTTGCCTTTTAAACAATATCTCATCATTCTTCCTGTTAAAGCCAAAATGATTTCTTCAACTCCATTGTAATTGGAAAACGAGGACAAAGAGTATTGCTTAGAATTATTTTAATTACATGATTTTTTTTGATCCTTATGCGCTTCTTTCTTCTCAGCAGTTCTCTTAATTAGATTTTTAAAAATATTAGTGTTTCCTGACCTATTCTTAGCTAAGACAATTATCGAATCCCCACCTTTCATTCTCAAACTACTGACCAGGTTTCAACACATTGTTAGATATGCACTTCTTTGAAAATCCCATGGTAGAATTGTTTAGGATAGACATATGCAATTTTTTGATTTATTTTTTTCTATAAACAGCTGTTCTTTACTTTATAGAGAAAGGAAGAAATAGGTACTTATAACAATATATCTAATTGCAGCTGTTGCTAAACACTAGAAGTTGTGTATTAGAAATTTTACAGCATTTATTGTGATAGCGTTATGCTTGCAAACGAAAAGAGCACTTTAAAGTTAAAAAGGATAAAACTTCAGTATAGAAATGGAGAAAATACATATATTATGTCTGGAATTCAATGTCTGTTATCCTTTTTTGCCTTTTTTTTTTTGTGCAACTGATAAAGTCTGTGTATCTCTAGAGAGAAAAGCCATCTTGTCTATTACATTTGGTTACTATAGCAGCAAAAGTATCAGGTGAAGAGATGAGAGGAAACCCAAACAGCCCCAAAATAAACATCTGAAATGTTTATGGGTATAGAAATATGAGGACAGCTAGTTTTTTTTCTATCTGAATAAGAGATTTATTAACGTAAGAGCTGGATTGACATGATGTTGTTTGTTCCAACAAAATAAACTTTCTAAGTTACTGGTATGGACGTGGATCTTTTCAGTTGACTAATCTTTATCATCCTCTAGAGAAAAGGAATTTGTTTTCTCTTGAGGACTGCGTTTTTCAATATAAGCTACTGGCTGCAAAATCCTATTTTGTTCAGTTTTTTAAATAAATCAAATACTGTCAATGTGATTCTTTGAATTAGTATTATGCAGTTTCTTTAGGCATCCCTGCACAGTTTAAGTAGAGTAGGAAGTTCCTTGATAGGAGATACTACAGTATATATATGTTAGAATATACAGTTATTTTCATGTGCTTTATAAAGATTTACAAGGAACTGGATTATGTTTGTGTACGCACACTTCTGTGGGAGGTAGCAAGAAAACTGACCAGAACATAAAGAAAACCAGCACTATGAAGAGCATCTGAACAGATATCAAACATCTTTGGTAGTAGATTCTAAACAAATGCATCTAAATGTACAGGGTTAGTGCTTTATTCCTTCATTTTTCAAGATGAATCTGCAAACGCTGTTAGGTTGATGTTAACTCTATTAAACACATAAAGATGTTTCAGGTAATTCTATGTAGTTTATATATTTTTCTTTGCTATTTAAAACAAACTGAAATCATTAATTAGCTGCTGAGAGACTTGACCTTGAGACATTGTGATCTGATTTAATGCAAATCTGCTATACTATTTTAATCTTGAAATATGATGTAAAAGTATTTTAAATTCATTTTCAGTACTGTTTGTGTCTTCTGTTATGTCTTAGGTGCAAAATGTTTGGATCATCAGTTGTTTGCCACCAAAGACATTGTTTTAGGAGAATGTTTGTTATTTTTTTTCCTGTTTCAGTTGACTCACTGTCTCTTTTGCTGGCTACTTGTGTTTTTCCATGACAACAACCTTGCATGCTTTTATCTTTCTCCTCCTTTATTTTTAATGTTATTTTTCAAATTGAAGTTCTTCATTTATCTTGATACTACTAACAAATGAAAGCTTTATTTATTGACAGTGATCATTTTCAGTAGCAAATGGAAGAGAAATCATTAAATGGTAAAATGATCAGTTCTTAGAAACAGTGGATTTGTTCTGTTGTTACATTAGTTTTCTCATAGTTCAGTGATTTTTTTTTTTTGATAGGTCTTGTTATTTGTATGAATCTTGGCTTCCTCTGTAGTTCTCAGCTTCCTCATCATTTTCTGTTGTTGAATTCCTTTTTTTTTTTTCAAGTTTAACATCGTGAAACAGTGCCTTGTTGAACACTGGATGTGAACATGTCATTAGTCTGTGGTTGCCTACACTGATTTGCACTTAAAGCCATTCTTTCAGGGTGGGGAAGGTGATCATTTCTTTTTCCATAAGTTTTGATGCAAAAATTAATTTCTAATCTGTTAAGACTGAAGTTTTAGTCTTAATATTTCTTCCTAAGTTGGTTTTGCGTGCTCTCTTTCTCTCTCTCTCTGAAATAGCTACTTTATAATGTGAAGAAACGTATCCTAATCAGATTGTCTGCAGGCTTTTCACTTTATACATTTCCTGAGTACGTGTGTTAATTGTTGCTTGGTGGTGAATGGAGTTAATCCAGCTGGTGACTGATCACGAGTGGTGTTCCCCAGGGTTCAGTACTGGAGCTGGTCCTGTTTAATATCTTAATTAATGATCTGGATGAGCAGATTGAGTGCACGCTCAGTAAGGCTGCAGGTGATACTACAGGAAGAAGTGTTAATATGCCTGAGGGTAGGAAGATCCTACAAAAGGGATCTGGAGAGGCAGGACCAATGGTCTGAAGCCAACTGTATGATCTTTAAAACCAACTACTGGTTCTTGCGCTTTGATCACAACAATCCTTTGCATCGGTACAGGATGGAAATCTGTGGAGAAAAAGGGCCTGGGAGTGTTGGTTGATGCCGGGCTGAATGTGAGCCAGCAGTGGGGCCAAGAAGGAGAGACCTTATAGCTCTCCACAACTTCCTGAAAGGAGATTGTGGTGAGGTGGAGGTCAGCCTCTTTTTCCCACATCGGAGTGGTGAGATGAGAGATAATCACGGAATGTCAGGAATTGGAAGGTACCTTAAAAGATCATCTAGTCCCATTTCCCTGCTAGAGCAGGAACACATAGGTCAAGTCAAACAGGAACAATGTCCAGGCAAGTTTTGAAAATCTCCAGAGAAGGAGACCTCACAACCTCTCTGGGCAGCCTGTACCAGTGTTCTATTACACTCACCATGAAGTTTTTCTCTCATATTTATGTGGATATGTTCCAGCTTGCACCCTCAAGTTGCACTGGGGGACGTTCAGGTTGGATACTAGGAAAAATTTCTTCTCAGGAAGGGTAGTGAGGTACTGGAGCAAGCTTCCCAGAGAGGTGGTGGAGTCACCATCCCCAGAAGTGTTTAAGAAATGTAGATGTGGTATTGAGGGATGTGGTTTAGTTTAATTCTAAGAGGCAGGAGCGAAGGCCATTACTCTTCATTAGAATTCATCTTACTTTGAAATACCTACCCTGGTTATTTGCCTGAAGCAGGGAAATGAGAGCTTTTTGATAAGCAAATATTAGGAAATGGCAAGTATTATGCTTTTGCAAGTAAAATGCGCTCAATGTAAGCTTGCATTTTCTGTCCTGAAATTTTGTAGAGTAGAAAAGAAACTAGTGCAAGTCAAAAAGTAGGAAAGACTGACTGATAACAAATAGTTTGGTCAGGCTATGTTATGCATGGGAAGTGTCTTCATCTGTTTGCCAAAAGTGGGTGTTGCTAAAGCTGATGAATTGCTGAAATAGGATAGCTGGTCTCTACAATGTACAGCAGATTGGCTCAAACTCAGGTCATGAAGCACTTGCACACTGAAGGCTGGCCCAGGATTTTGGGTACTTGCTGTAGTTCATTCTCCTATTTACAAAGGGAATTTATGCTGGATAAAGCAGTGTATGAAGGAAATGGGATCAAAGTTAAGGTATTACTTCCTTGCAAGCTGAGTTAAACTGTAGACAGAAGTGGAAGAATGTGGTTTTTTTTCTGACATCAACTATAAACTTGGACAGGAGATTGTGTTGTAGCTGAGAGTAGCAATGGAAAACAAGCAACTTGTTCTTGCTTAAGCTAAATGTTGGCCTACTACAGTCACAAACTTCTGTTCTTATGATTGAGACTACTCACAATTGCTCTGATTTCTGCTGACATTCAGGATGTGCTTGAATCAGCAGCAGCTACAGGAATGCTTGTTGTGGCTTATATTGTGTTTTTTGTTTCTTCTTGTGTTTGTAAATCATAGTTTAAGAGGTGTTTCTTTTTTTTTGTTTTTTTTGCAATGAATGAATTAATGTTCCTATAATACAATTTGCTAAAGTGTTATTAATGATTTTTGGAAATACCACACGCTGGCTCAGTTCGCACATGAACATCAAGGTTGACTGCTGAGGCCTTGTGTTTGTAGTCTCCATATGGAATTACGCAAGTACAAAATCTTGTGGTTGTCCTCATTTCTTCATCTGGTCAACTGTACTGAATTCTTACCAGTTGGACAGGTTCTTACTGTAGGATTCATCTCCCTATGCTTTATATATGTATCTGCATCTGAGTTGTTATCCAGATTTGAGTACTCATATGACTCATAGGTTATTTATTGCTTTCAATATGTACTGTGAATTCTATCAATTCACATAAGAGTACTTTTATTTTAATAACTCATAATGCAGTATAATTTGTTTTTTTTTTTAAATTAGCCTCACCTTTCGTTTAAACAACAGACCAGTAATTGCAGAGTGTTTGTGCTGACTCCTACCTCTTCCTCCTTGGTCTTGTTTCTTTCTCATGTTTGCAGCCAAGCCTTTGGAACAGGCATAGCATTAACCTTGTGTTCTCTGAGTGCTCTTGGTTATAACTTGGTTCTCTGTTGGATTTGAAGACTTCACAGGTTTCTTTCTCCTGATACGCTGGAAAATGCTGATCATCAGATGCCCTGATGGTATACGCTTGAGAAATACCCCAAACCAAAATAATAGGGATGGTGCAACACGAACTGACACATGGAGAATGTTTGCCTTGTGACTGACCAGCCTGTCATTTGACTATTTAGAGTCTCAAATATAAGAAGGCAAAAATAAGTGTTTAATGCAATGTACTTTAGAGCATCTGTTTGTTTTTGTTTTTTAGACAGAATTCACCTATGTCCAAGCAACAAATAAACCAAAGACCTTCAAGCATGGTCAGTGAATCATCCACTGCAGTAACTATGTCTGCTGTTGATACAAAGCCTGGTTCTAAGGTAAAGGAAACAGACTGTTGTTTGAATTTGGTGATCAGAACTTTACTTGCTTTTAAGACCAATGCTGTGTTTTGTCATTAGTTTTAATAGGGCTCTGAGTTGGGCTAGAGGACTAATACTTACCCAACTACTTGTGTGTTTGAGTTTACATTTATCCTCGTTATTCTCATTTTCATAATGCCAGCATTAGTGGGAGAAGGCTTGTTTTTTCCACTTTTAAAGTCGGTGAAGTTGCTGGACCTGGTACTCTGCTTTGATATGGAGACTTCTTTGAGCGATGTGGTGTCTTTAACTGACTCAGGCTCACACTTCTGCCAGTAAGTGTGAATCTGGGTTGAAACCAGCATGCTCCCAGCTGCTTTCCTTTGTCATGTAATTGCACCGATCTGATCTGATTTTTCAAAACAGTGAGAACAACAATGATGACTAGATACAACATACAGGCCTACCCACTGAAAGAGGTAGTTTATGGAAGACATGAGAACTGCACAGCTAGATGGAGGGAAATGCTTTTTTCATTGCAGCTTCGAAAATAACCACAGTCACCTCCCAAAACTTCAACAGATCTGTTATGATCTCTTCTGCTACTTTGTTTGCAGTCCAGTAGTAGTGTGGCTATGCGTGTTTCTGCCAGGCTGCCAAATGTGGCATTTTTAAAAATACTTTGCAGCTTTAGACTTTGACTAGACTTCTCATAGAGGACTTGACAGTACTTTTCTTCCACACCAACTTTATGTGAGTTCATTCCAGCTGTGAACCCTTAATAAGTACTTCATTTTTTATTAAGACAGAAAACTAAGGTATTTCTCATATACGCTTTGATTCATCATTGAATTCAGGTTTCCAAGTTTCTCCATGTTCTGTAGGATCAGGAAGAAATGTGTTAAATTTCTTCACAACCCATCAGAGTTGATTTAAGTTAACCAGCAACAAGAAGAAAAGCTGTAAAGTGAATAATCTGTGTCCTCCACTTTGAGGTTGTTTGTTAGCATGCTAAGAGTAGATTTTAAGAACCTTTCCTCTGTTCTCTAAAGGTTTCTGTGAGTTCTATAATCATTGTTTTTGTAGAGTGAGTTTCCAGGCACAGGTCTGGGGCACAGTCATGAAGCCAGACTTACATTCTATTTACCACAGCCTCTTGGTACCTATACCTGGCTATCACCTTTTATGGAAATGCTTCATGGTTTTGTGCTGGAAATGCCATAATACTGACATTCTGTTGGTGTATGGATTGAATCCTAAAAGAGACAAAGCCTGCTGGTTTGCCAGCTTTGGTATTCAATTCTGAGCTTGGGAGTGAATCAAATGTCAGAAATAAAAAGTGGTTGTTTTCAAAGAGAATTTCACATTCATGCTACAACAGTGTCTGTTGTATACTGCACAACAAAGAGGAACATGTTGGAAAACAAACAAAATTACCATCAACTAAAACCAAGGCTGTCATTGTTTTATTGATATCTGTATAAATACGTGCCTTCGTTTCCTAAGACACCTGAGAATGGGTAGTTTTGCAGAAATGCATGTCAGTTCTTAGGGTGAGCCTCACCCCCTTTACACTGGTATTGTCTGAATAAGTCGTGAAAACTTCAGACCAGTTCACCCTTTTGGAGGTATGGAGTTGAGGATATACAAATCAAAATGGATGTTGATGAAGAATCACTCTCTATCCCAAAGACAACTGGTTAAATTACAGAAGCATGTTTTTCTCCATTATGAACCATGTTAAAAGCTGTTCACATTGATTATGAATAAAGGATATTGGAAGAATAAAGGACTGCTACAATTTGAGAATGATTTGGAATATAGTCAGTTAGCAAATGCTACTATTTCTGTCAAGGCAGAAGTATGGAGAATAATACTGTCATGTAATTTTTACTTACTAAATGCTGTGTTCCGTTTTCAGTGGTTTCTGTCCAGGAGAAGTAGTTGAATTGTTGTTAGCATTGATAGTTACTTATATTTTTCCAGTATGAACAGCTGAGCATTACAAAAGGTAAATAAAGAATGGGTGTAGCAATTGAGAGAAACTGATAATGGTGGCAAGTATGCAGTGGAGCAAACTCTGCGGCCATTTGGAGCTGGAATGTGAGGGTTAGGTCAGGGCTACTTCAAATGAATGCTCATTATCAACAGCAGGAACTCTGTTTCAGTTCATCCTATTTGAAAAATAAGGATTCTGTGTAATTTTCTTAAAGATACAGAAAGAATTGATGAATTAATTTGGCTATAGAACATCTTGAGATTACTGAATAGAACAGGTTAGGACATAGAGCAAAACACTTAAATATATAAGTGAAGTTGTGTGTTCTCTTGTGTATATATGTGTTTTTCTTTTTCCACCAAGGTAGTGGTGTTTTTTCAATTTAGAAAATGTCTTCCAGATTAAATGCTGTTTACTTTGTTTGATTTTTGATTTGTTTTACAAATATATATATTGAAATACTATAATTAACAACTCTCCAATGAAGGAGAGGATGAAGCAGTGATGAAATTTTGGCTCTTGATATTTTGCTTCTTTGTAGAAATGTGAGTCACTCACAAACAAGTCAGTGTAACAGATGCACTGAAATCAAAATGACTTCCTTGTCTTCAGTTGCACAGGCAGCTGATCTGACCTGCCTGTCTCAACACATGACAGTGGTATCAATATTTCAAGTTAGGAAAAGATCACTCCAGCACATGCAAAGAGTTTTAAAATTACACTTTTTCTTTTAAACTGACTTCTAATTTGTAGCCAGTGAAAAAAAGATATGAAGTTGTTTTTTAATCTAGAATTGAATGAAACAGTTTATGCTACAGATGATATGAAAAACTGAAATTAGGTGGAAGAATAGTTATTTCTATTGCGAGTTTTGGTATGAAATATACAGCCTTAGAAAGACTTACCCCCCTCTCATCTAATAACTGTTGTGTTTTGGGTTTTTTATAAGTAAGTCTAATGGTGGCTTTTCTGCATTTTGTAAAATTGAATAAGATCGAGGAATCCAAGCGCTTGATCATCTGCTCAGAAAGCTGGTGCTGTTGGCAGCCTGGCCTGTTGGGTGTGTGCTAGCCTTTGGCAGCTGGGTTGTTCAGATGTTCTGCATAGCACTGGGCCACAGGTAAACCTTGTTCAGCCTCTCACTGCAATGCCAGGTGTGCCTGGCACTCTTCCTGTCTCCCAGGTGTCTCTCATAGAAATGGCCGTGATGTGCAGCTCACCCACATCTCAGCAGAGCAGAAAGCAGTGTGCTGCTTCCTGGGAAACAAACCTCAGCACACTACCTAGTAAAATCTGTTCTTTGATATCTGCTTACAAGTTACATTCTTTTGGCTGCTTTTTGTGCTGTGGCACCAAAGCAAGTTAATTACTGGGTGGTTTCTTTTGTTTTAACTAGTAATTGTCATTTTCTCAATTCTGCATTAAGAGTTGTGCTCACATCTACTGAAATGTATGAAATTTAGTACAGATTAGAAAAGCCTGGCCTCAAACTGAGGAGAATTTTTCTTTGTGTACTCATACATTGCTGGAGCGTTTTATGATTATATGTGCTGACTTCCAGTCCAGATGTTGCCTGACAGGAAGAAATAGTGCACTGAGATTTTTTTTATATCATCTCTTGCATATGACAAACATGCTTATTTCCAGAGCTGCTGTTTGTTGCAGCTGACAGAGTAGCAGTTCCCCAACGACTCGAGAGGAGGGATTTGAACAAAGATGACATGGCAGGAACGTTTTAGGAAGGAGGCAGGGAGTGAATCTGAACAGCTCTTTCCTTGGAGAGATTGGATGCAACTCTGAGGGCAGTTTGTGCACCTCGGGTTCCTAAACAATTGCAGTAGCAAACAGCTGAGATTGGAAAAGAAAAGAACAGGCAGATCGTTCATCCAGAGAGTTTTGCTCCTTTTTGCACAGACTTTCCCTGCTCCTTTTTGAAATTGTTTTGCTGATGTGAATCAAAACCAAGGTTGCAGTAAAACAAAGCATTACATAGCCCTTATTTTCTATTTACTACCACCTAGGTCTCTTCCTTAGCAGACATGCTGCTACATCTTCTCCTTTTGCTTGCAGGGTTAAAGTCAAGCATTTTATTAAACTGTCTATGTAATTTGAATTTAAATGGGGAAAAAAAAAAAACACCAAACAGAGAACAAGCAGCTAAAAACAAGATTCCTGGACACAAGCTCCTGTGTATTGTAGAGGGATGCTTGCATGCAGATGTTGTTGTGCACTCAGAAATACTTTCCGAGCACAATAAAACTTACTGGTTCTGCCATTCAGACTGGAGCTACCAGCACTACTGCTATTAGCACACCATCTTGACACCGATGTTGTTGATGACAGTGGGAAGTTGCTTTTGCTGTATTGTAAATATTTTTGTCTATATGCTTGCCCTTGAAAATGCTGTAGTGTATTAGTGTGTCATGAATTGTTACAGGGAAGTTATTTTAAATATGAAGTGTGTGTGTAAGAGCAGTTTGAAAAGACACTGCTACTGTTTACTTCTTTACAGGTGATGAAGGCTGGAAACAAAGTTCATAGCTTTGGAAAGAGGGAACAAGCTATCAGGAGGAATCCCAATGTTCCTGTGATAGTAAGAGGCTGGTTACACAAACAGGTAAGCGTGCAGTCATCAAGTAAAAGTGGCTTTCAGGTAACTGAAAAAACATAAGCCCTCTTGCTTATGGTTATGTTGGGCAGTGTTGGGAACACGCATGAGCTTGTGTAACAAGGGGCTTGTGCTCAACATGTGTGAAAACAGGGTTTTGCATACGGATTTGATACAGAAGTGGAAACAGTGATAAATGGACACTGCTGTCCTGGTTAAATGCTTAAGCTATAGCTTTGTTGTCAGTGTCTGGTTATTTCCACTGTTTTATCCTGCTGGTTTACTGCCATACTGATCTCAGTCCCCTTCAGATCTCTTCACTAACCTGGGGTTGGGCGTGAAAGCCATCTGCTTTCTTTGCCCTTACACTCTGGATCAAAGGCTTAATTCCGATTAATTTGCCTCCAGAAGCAGAGGGAGAAGATGAAGGTAGACAGGGCCTCATGCATCACGCATTGCTGTCACCAAGACCAGTGTCAAAATAAAGGCAGGATTATAGAATTTTGCACTTGCTGCATCTTGAAGCTGGCGGAAGACATCTTTGAATGCAGAAAGTGAAAAAAGCTTTTATATAAGGAAACTTGCTTCTGATTTGATAATGACCTGGTGGGTGCTGATGAAGGTGTAGCAGCTAGATTAAGGGACGAGTAGGAAAAGTCTAAAGTCTGAGTGTTAAAGGCATGATTCTACGTGCAAAGGAAAAAGTTGCTGACAGCCATTCACTTCCTTCTCCATGAGATCTGTGTTCCACAATCAGTCCTGTTGACATCCACTAAGTGAGTCCATTGGTTTTCAGGGCAGAGTCAGAACTATGCCGAGAGCATGAAAAACAAAAGGGAAGAAAGTCATTGCATACTTAATATGACTGGAAAAATAAGCGAAGTAAATAGTATCTATAGTGTTCATTTAGCTATTTCCTTCTGTCCACTTTTTACTTGCAAGCACTTAAAGACTGAAGATGCTTTCTCTGCAGTTGGTCTCATCAAAGCCTTCAGTGTAATAAGTTGTACATGCTGAGGTTACATTTTGGCAATTTTACGGGCTTCTAAAATTAATTTATATGTAAATATTACTCATTTTGACAAGGTGATGTATGTTATATGGAGACGTTTGTCTCCACAGGCATATTGAATTATACTTCATTAAAGTCTGTACGTTATGCATCCTGGTCTATTTCCTTAGGAATATTTGATTAAATTACATTTTAGGCATGGGTAACATATGGAAAATGGACTGTAGAATTACAGGAGATCCTTGTCTTAAACGTGAGGTCATATTTCACAGTTGTGGGGATTTTCATCTTGATCTAAGGGCAATCCTTGTTGGAGTTTGTGCTGTCAGGATGCATACCTTTGTTTCCTTATTGCGGGACAAAGCTGTCCAATAAAAATATGCATTGATTGTTTATGGGGTGAATCTGAACTCTGGTTGGATGTAAGTTTAATTGCTTAGTGAAAATGAGCAGCTTGAGTATTCTAAACTGATTGTTTTATAGTTGGACGCTTTATTTCTTTCTGAGTGTATAATATTTTGCTAAAATATAAAATGGTTATTTTTGTAATTAATGTCATACTTGGGTGGATTTCTGGTAAGCTACTCATTTATACAGCACTGTATGATAAAGCTCTTATTCTCATCAGATGAAAAATGTATCACCTTTCTTCCATTTCAGGACAGTTCTGGTATGCGATTATGGAAAAGACGATGGTTTGTGCTTGCTGATTATTGTTTGTTTTACTATAAAGGTGAGTAGATAATAGTAGCTCTTCTGAGTTGGCCTGTAACAGTTTACCTGTTCAAATCACATTGCAAGTGTAAGCTAAATGAATTTTTCAGCTACATTTAGGTGTTCTAAAAGAATGCACCGTAAAGCAAGGATTTGTCCATTCCTCTTTAAGGTGTGGCAAATTCAAGCCAGAGATGGGGACCGAGGGGGCTGCTGTATGATGTTTTATCACGTAACTTGTCTTTCCTATATGCCAAGGCTTACATTACAAAATATTTGGCAGCAATACCAGTTTAAGATTTTTTCCATCCATGTTCGGAGTTGTTACCTACCTCCTTGTGGCTGTGTAGCTGATTATGAGAATACAGTGCGGCCAGATCAGGGTGTTGATTCAGCTTTCATCCAAGTGATAACATAAGAGTGAGAAATCCTGAAGTCAGTATTTCTACAGGTTAAACATAATTTTTCTTTGAATAGAAATAATGATATAATATTACATAGCGTTATTTCTAGGTTTTGATTCGGATTTTACAATTTTTAGAAAACATTGTAGAATATCAAGCTCAAATTCATGTTGTGGGCACTACGTTTCTCCTGCTGTTTGCTTAAGAGTTGATAGTAATAGGGTTTTTTTCGTTATAATAAAATGTTAAATGGAAAGGGATTTCTGTTACACAGCCTATCAGAGTTCATTTGTCAAAATAAGCTTTGTTCAGGAAGTCTGCTTTTGCCCAAAACGAATTAAACAAACAAAAAAACCACTTACTTTATTATTGAAAAATACAATATTGCTTCTTTAAAAATGAAACGTTTCTCTATGTTGTTGTCATTGAGTCATAATAAAATTCAGACTTCAGAGAGCATCCAAACATCAAACCGGAGTCCAAAAAAGGAGGTCAGATCAGGCTCTGTGGGGCTCAATGCATTCATGCATTGAAAACCTCCAACAGTGGAGATGACACAGCCTCCCTGGTCATCCTGTCACGCTGTTTCTCTGTCCTCACGTAGAAATTTCTTGTATCCATTTTAATTCTCTCACATTCAGACTTCATGCCTCTATTGTTTGCTGTCCTTCTGTAATAGACCACTCTGTGTCCGTAATGGAGAATGTATTGATATTCCACTGAAATGTGTAGTGAATTAGTCGTTTTTTTTTTTGTTTAAAATTATTTATTATTATTATTATTCTGCAGATAGCAGAGAAGAATCTGTGTTGGGTAGCATACCATTGCCCAGCTATGTAATATCTCCTGTTGGACCTGAAGATCGTATAAATCGCAAATTTTCTTTTAAGGTATGGGTACAACACTTAGCAGCTTAGCATATTCTAAAATGCTTATTTGCATTAGAAATGATGTTGTTGTAAGCAAGAATATCTTCTTTCCTATTATGATTTTTTTCAAAGAGACTTTGCCTATTCAAATGTCATGTAGCACTTTTCTGTTACTTATAAATTGGTTTTAATATATGTTACTATATATAGGTCTTTGGAGCTTAATAATTAGAAATTCATGTTGAGTTGTTCCACTGCTTTTAGATATTGAAAGAGTTGACGTTTTTTTTCTTTATAGTGTAATTGATCTTATAATGGACTGATGGCTTTTTAAATTTTAATTTTATTGTGTTTTTTTTTTTTTAAAAAAAAGAAGCAACTCCGTTTTTACAGTTAGAAAACAGCAACACTGTGACTTTTGATATATAATTGCCTCCTTTCAAGTGAAGAAAGAATATGCAATTTTTCTCCTTTCTTGTTTGGAAGCAATAATTGTCCTGAGGGATGTTGAGTAATTTTCTGCTTTTTTTTTTAAAGGTAAAAGCACTCATTCAATGCAGCTTAATGTTCTGTTTTTTTTTTTTTTAATTAAAAATAAATTTAATTGTATGATTTCAAATTCTATTAATTCTTATAAAAACCTACGGAGGAAGTGAAATACAAAATTCATTCCTTCTTAACAGTAGAAAATCTTACCTGATTGTCCAAATTGCAGCATTAAGGCAAAGATCAGAAATGTCAGTGTATGTTTGCAAATTTGTTACACTGGTATTTGGAGCAGAACCTGTTCTTCTGTACTAAAGAAGCAGGTGAGCCATATTACTAAACAAACAAATAACTTGTTTCATTTTTTATCAGATGTAGTTTAAGAGATATGGAAGAAATCTTTCTCTTTATATATTTGCTGAAAACATCTCTTCAGCTTTCAATTTTGTTTTTGCTTTGATTTTTTGATGTGTTTTTAAATGGTAGACTGCCTTTTGTAGCATTAAGATTTATTTTCAAGTGTACAATTATTTGATTTTTATTAAACAAATATTAACTTGAAGTGTGTTTGAAAAAAGACCTGCTGCTCGTTGTGGAAATATTTGTTGTACTTTTTCAAATATATTGAACATGAGATAGCAGGATAAGCTACAGAGAATTCTTTGTTAAAAAATCATTTTACTCCAATATTGAACAAATGTGATTCATGAAGTTCTCTTTGAGGCTTTTTCGAGGCAGAAGCACATGGTGCAAAATGAAGACCCAGTGTATATTTAGGCTTTTACACCGATTGAATACGTCTTAGTGCAGGTTGGGAATGGAGGTGAAATAGCAATTGTATCTGCTTGAATCTTGTTGTGTTAGCGTTTTGAAAAAATTCTTTTTAATTTCAAGGAAGGATATTTGTTAATGTTCATTGAATGTGGTTTAGGTTTGTTAACCTTAAGCTGACTATCAGTCATAAGGGAAAGAATCTTAATGTGTGTGTGTATGTAGATATGTGTATATGTGCACACAGAGTGGCTTTGGTTGGAAGGGACTTTAAAGAACATTCAGTTCCAGCCCCATGCTGAGTTGCCACCCACTAAATCAGGCATTAGATCAGGCTGCCTGGGGCCCCATCCAACCTGGCTTTCCAGGAATGGGGCAACTACAGCTTCTCTGGGCAGCCTGTTCCAGTGCCTCACCACCCTCTGAGTAAAGAATTTCCTCCTAATATCTAATCTAAATCTCCTCTCTTTTGATTTAAAACCATTCGTACACACATATAGTTTCCAAATGATATGTTCTGTAGGCAAACTCTTGGTCACCACTGCCAAGCTGTGCCTCTTCCTGCAGAATAGAACCCATGGTTATGACGTGGTTAAATATATTCAGAAGCAAGTGCAGACTTCCCCTGATCCTTCTAGGATATTATACCTATGTGAGCTGTATTAAATCTTTAATCTGCATCTTTTCTGAAGGTTAGCTTGAGCCAATAAACTGGGATTTTCAGTGTAAGGTTACTTCTAAAAAGTTGATAGAGAAGCAAGGAGTTGTTAGGGAAGGCTTGACAATGCACTTTCATTTTATTTAGAACCAACTCCTAGGGCAGTTGGCAGATTTTGAATGATTTCTGCTGCCTGAGCCCCACTCAATGCCAACATTCAGTGATGGCAGCCTTGACTGCGGTGGGAGCACGGCCATGATGGCATTCCATCACTCACCAGCCATTACCTTTATCTAATCTCAGTGCGCTTCGATAGCCAAAGCACAGGCGGACATTCTGTCTCAGTGTAGCACAGCCAGAAATAGAAAGCTCAACAAGAGTAAGCCTGAAATAAAGATAGGACTTTCTCACATTTATGTCCCGAATGAGTGGGGGAATGTGGTGCATCACTTTTTGCATTTGGCCTCTCACTTACTCTGATTGCTGTAAATTGTTTGTTACAATGGAGGCTTTCATTTAAATGGCTTTTTTAAGTAGCAGTGAGTTTTTGAAGCTAGATAAGCGTTCAAACTCTGAAAATGTTGTTTTGTAAAACTAAGAGGAATTCTACTTAGCAAATACAGGAATGCTTTTGGTATACGAAGCAGTTAGAAGACAATTTCTGAAGTATGTGTTTCCTAGGATGTAGGCAACTTTAACAAGTAGAACATTCCCTGTGGAAGTTCTTCAGCCCTTCCATCAGCTCCGAAGGACCCACACATTTTGGGTCTTATTTAAATGCCTGGCAGTGACGGGCCTGTAGAAAAGCATACGGCTGTTCAGATGCACTCAAACCTACACCTATTGGAAGTGTAGGAGTATGTGTATTAAATTCACTTCTAAGTGTCCATCTTGACAAGCTTTTCACATTGTTTATTTCTCCCAAGCAAAGTCCTGTGGTTACTACTGTCATTAATTTGTGTGGTGACCTTTAGAACTTAGGATCTTTGCACATTTAGTTCTGTAGCTAATGTCTTATAAATATTAATTAATGGATCTATTTCTTCATACAGTAGTTCTCTGCTGATACAGATGTGGGATACCACAAATGCTATGTTTGGACTTCACTGTGAAAAAGTTCACATGACATTCATGTATAGCTGGAAATACTCCTTGTGACAAATAGAGAATGTACTGTGCCTTTCATTAATACAACTTTAAATGTAAATATTAGCCATTCATGGAAGATAATACTGTTGCAGTCTCTTTAGAAGTCTTCCTGCTCTCTGTCTGGAAAGATACTTTAATTGATTTTATATGTTAAAATATGAGCAACTCATTTTATAAATCTGACATTAATGCAAATTGTTGAAAATTGGAAGGTCTACCAGTGTCTGCCCTGAAGAAAGCTGCAAAACTTCAAGCAAAGCCAATGTATGCGAGTGTATGTCAGTATGTATATACACATCTTGCAACCAGATAAAGTCAGTGAAATGTGCTTTGATGCTCTGTAAGAGATGTGAAGTACCGCTGGAGCTAAAACCCAAACAAATAAAACTCCTTTTTACTTTGATACTACCCTTGACATTTTTTCGGAGGTTTAGTCAGTCATTGTGGGGGCACTCAGAGCTGAGGAAGCCAGGCCAAATCATTATTCCAAGAAGATGCTACTCTACTGTTTTTTCAATATATTTGCATTATTGATACTCAGGAAAGACTAAAGCAAATATCTGTTCAGTACTTAGACCAAATGGGACAGGACAATTTCACTAGTTTTCATTAAAAAAAAAAAAAAAATAGTGGGGAAAAAAAAAGCGTTTCTCTTGCCATCCCTCCATTCTATGAACTCTGGCTTTTTCTCTCCTCAGAATTTTGAATGATTTGGAATAAAGATAGCAGTTGTAGATACTTATTCCTGTATACTTATATTACTATAACCTTTCATTGAATATTTTCTTTAGAAACGTGAATCTTTTCACAATTTTAACTTAACTTTTTGTCCCTGTCTTATTTTATTGATACGCTTTTGGGGTTTACTGTCCATTTCTCCTGTGCATTTTGGGAGAGAGACTGCTTCCCTTCTCAATCTGTCCGCATTAAGGCATCTGAATGCATGAATAGGTACCGGTATTACTTTTTCCTGTTGTGTACTACATATGTGTGGCACGTGCTGTGTTTTAGGCTTGTTCATGTGCTGTAGTCATTCTAATAGCTATTGCTTTAAAAACAAGCAAGCAAAAAAAAAAAAAAATGCTGGCTTCTGTGTCTACTAGCAGTGACAGCTACAGGACATGAGCAGAAAGTGGCTTTCTACTTATTAGATGTGCTACTAATAAATGACTGTAACTGAAGTGTATCAGAATTTTCCTTTAACTGATTTTATATATTGCAAACTTCAAGATGTCGGGTCTGTTGGTAACAGCAAGCCATCTCTGTTTTCCCTTCTGGAGCTATCAATGTTTTTTGTTCAATAGCTTCAGTTTCTTACAGGAGAATAGTGCAACATGCTTTGTGTTTTTATTCTGTTTCTCCATTGCCTTTCAAGCAATGCTTTCAGCTGTGTTCATTATGCACCACTGAAAGGGAGCATGAAAGGCAAGTGGATTATGTTGAACGTAACATACGAGTGAAATAAATCCGTGTATTGCTGGGGGTATGCAGTCTCCAGTTAGTTAACCAAAGTCCCGTTGTTGGTTTGTTATGTTTGTATTTTTTCCAGCAAGCATGTAGCCAATGAAGGTTAGGATCCTAGTGTGTCCTCTGCAGTGCTACATGTATAGTCTAGAGTTGCTTCACTTCCATATTCTAGCATCTTCTCCTCTAGACTCAAAATGGTGTATATGGGAACTGTGTAGTCATAAGGTCTAACTGTGAAGTCACTGATTTCTTTTATGTCTGGAGCTGCTTTTCTTGCTATGTTCTTGCACTGAATGTTAATTATAAATTGCAATGATTTAAGTTCTTCCAAAACAAATTTTTTTTGGAACATTTATGGTATTTTCAAGAAGGCAGAAAAGCAAGAAGACTCCCAGCAGTAAAGAAAACCCAAAAAACTCAATCAGCCAAACACGTGAAAAGAAATCATTTGGTTCCTAAATATGGAATTGATCAGAGCTACTGTTTCATTTATGTAACCCCTACTTCCTTTGGTTAAGGTAGGTAATGGTGGGAAGAGAGATACCACCTTGTATTCTGTTATCTGCCATTGGAGGTGGGAAGCAAAGGCTGTGGAGCAGGAAGAGAATCTTGGACTTCTGTTCAGATTTTTCTTTCCCTCTTAAAAAAAAAAAAAAAAGCTCTCAGCCATTAGCTTTTTATGTTATAGCAGGTTTAGTTTTATTAAAAGCAATTTAAGTTATTTTATTTAGATATTTTTTGCAAGTGCTTTTGTGTTGAGTATACTTGCTTCAGCTTTTTGAAATAGTAGGGAAATTAGTCTTTTCCTACTAGTTTTGTTAACAATGGTGAAGAGCATATGAAGTGCTAAACAGCAACTACATCCACAAGGTAATTTGGAGGAAATATTAGTCTTGAATCGTAGTTGTATGACATAGTAATGTTTATACTATCCCTTATACAAAGGTGGATAAGATTTGATTAAATTCAACTAGCCTAGAGTTGCACAGACATCCCATTCCAAACATGATTTTGTGTGTGGCACTACTATTTAGGTGTTTGATATGTTTATAGAGAAATTTCTGAATACATGTAGTCTTCAGTGGAATTTCATGGGACATTCTGGTATGCAGAGATGCTTGTCAGTATTTTATGCACTTTGGTAATTCTATCTGTATTGATAACTTTATCAGTAAGTCTTGTGATTTTGCAGCTAATACAGGGGCTCAAGTGCACGCTTTAACGAAGAAGATCTTAACAGTTCTTAAATAAGCAGTTTAATTGCTTGAATGGTAAAATTTTTGTATGTTTTGTCTGACTAAATTGCTTTATGAAGAAAGCTGTGGTGGTTTGCTCACTTACACGTGTCTCAGTGAAAATTAATTTAACTTGTTTTGTGTGTTATTGGCAGTAAATGGAACATCAGTTAAGAAAAATTAAAAAGGTAGAATTTCCTACTATGAAAAACAGAAATGCTGCACTTGTAGCCTAATAGTGTGGGAAAGAAGTGGGTGAGAATTTCAGTAAAATTTAGAGAGTGCTATTGGTGTTTGCTGCAGAGCTGCCAGTTGTGGCAAGATGATAATTTTACCTTAACTTCAGCCAAAGAATGCTGAAAGTTTTATTTATTTTAAAGATATCAGGAAAAGTTGCAATAAACATTTTGGGGAGAAAATAGCAGTGCTGTCTGATGTTGATTTCTTTGTGCTTTGCTTTTGTTTCTTTTTCTGACAGGCTGTCCATACAGGGATGCGGGCATATATTTATAATAAGAATTCTGTTATTGGCTCTCAGGCAGAGCATTCAGGGATGCGGACGTATTACTTCAGTGCAGATACCCAGGAGGATATGAACAGCTGGATTCGGGCTATGAACCAAGCTGCCCTTATGCAAACACGCTCTTCACTGAGAAGGCAAGTTCCATGAGCCAAATCCTAGCTTAGAAAACAGACTGGATGGTGATTTCTGAAGGGGAAACTTGTGACTGTGTGCAATGAAACTTATTTCAATTTTAAAGAAATAGTTCTTTATAATTACTGCAACAACTTGTTCCTGTTGCAGGTCAGCTAGTTAGCAACAAATAAGCAGTATGCCCCCGTTTAATGACACGGATTTCTTTTCTGTATACGTATTTTTAGGGAATAGAAGTTACAATTGCTTGTGAGAAAAATTCATACACATGCAGCAGCCAAATGGCAGCTCTAAGGAAGGTAAATAGAAGGGCAAGAACAAAAAGAGCAATGAGTCATTTCAGCTGAGTGTTTAGAACTAGGATCAGAGCCCTCCTAAGAGGGAGAAGAATGTTAAAAATGAGTACATTACAAATACATAGTTATGTTTATTAGCTAATTTATGTAGATATTAACTTGCTTATTTTTGGCTTAATTTGTTGGCCTTTAGTGTGAGTTAAATGTTTTCATCAGCCCATAAAAAAGTGCAGTTTTAAGAGGAAGATGTACTTTGGTTCTTTAACAGTGCTTGAGGCACTGTGTCTTCATGGGCTTCCAGTTTTTCCCTTTTCTTAAAACTGATATAACTTTCTTGATGTTTTGACTTTGGGAATGTTATTCTTTCCCTACAAGCCCATATGAAAGAAGCCTTTGTACCGTGAGGTAGCCCTGCTTTTAACCTATGGCACTCTGAGAATTGTCATAGTGCAGTTTTTCAGAGTATCTTTCACTAGTGCTTGCTTTTAGTAAATATAATACAGTATAAGCAAAAAGTCTAACATCCCTTCTAGACCTTTACACACCATATGATTTTGTGTTAAAATTTTCTGGAATTAATTTTAATTTCAAATAATGTGTGACCTGTTACTTGTTTTTCTTTATGTTCTTTATAAGGATAGGAGTAATAGGAAGAAAAATCATGGAAGCCTGGCACATTAGAAGTATTGATAGTGTCCTTGTGACATTTACTTGGAAATCCACCTTCTGTAAAGCTTTAAGGAAACTGAACATAGCTTAGAGAAAATGAGATCGATGCTACTATTAAAGTGTTAGAGAAAAATCATGTAGGGAAGTTTATGACTATAAAGAGGTGAAGAAAATGGCAAATGAAATGTGTTGTGTGTCAAAAGCAGTGTAAAGCTTTTTGGACCCTTAGACATTTTGTAGTGCATTGCAAATTTTATATCAAGAATTCTGGTATGGAATTTTTGAAATATTTAGATGAGATTTAGGAAAAATGGAGATTTAATTTAATTTAGCTTTGGGAATAGCAAAACTGTAGATTTCATAGACAATGATAATACTGAATCAAATGTAGATGGTCTGTCCTCTTGCCAGAAATTACTAGTCCCTAGGGCATCTATGAATATATGAAAGACTTTTTTTTACTTTAAAATGCACAGTTGGCAGTTGGTTTTCTGCTTTTTGGCTTTCTGTGCTTCCTAGGATAGGAAGACTTCTTTTTCTATAGTTATTTGTATGTAGTATTACACAAGTTGAACAATTTTCATACAGTATTAATATTTTCAGTTATTTTACAGCTGCATATAAAAGATTTCTGCAGAGGTAACTTTCATCTAACTGGGATAACAACTTAGTTTTGTTGACCATATCTATTTTAACATCTGTCAAATTCAGTACAACCAAGAAAAGGTGCTGTTCCTAGCTATCCTTTCTAAAATATTAACGAGAGCACATCATCTTCTGACAGCTAAGCAGTGTTCATTATCAACATATATTTTCTTTTCAGAGAAACTGAAAAAGGAGATCAACGAGCTGTTCCCCAAGTCAATCATGTGGATGCCTGTAAAGTATGTGTGAAGGCAGAGATTACAGACACAAAAGAAAGTTACCAAAAATCTGCTGAAATGCTCGGATATGATAAGCGTGAGGAGATAAGAAGAGAAAAAGAAGAAGAGGAACGTTATATCCACAGAAAAGAAGCTCTAGAAACTAAGAAGGGAAAGGCTAAGCATGCGTTAACAGAAGCTGATTCATTATTTCCAGATTTAACGAATCCACCACGATCCCAAGTAGCTCAGTCTGTGCCCATTGAGAAGAATGGAACGCTTCCTAGTTCATTAAGTATGAGTGCTGGCCTAGTGGAGCAGAATGGTACCAGCTCATATAAAAGAGGGTTTGTTCCCAGGACAAATCCAGATAAACAGATTCAAAGAAAAAGTAATATGGCTCAAGTGGAGCACTGGGTAAAAGTCCAAAAAGGAGATACAAAAAGGTTAGTAATAGGCCCTGTCTGTAAATAGACTGCCAAACAGAATGTTCCTAATATAAAGGAAAATATGCATTTGAAATATATTCAGTGCAAACTGGAACAATACAGAGGCAATACATAACAAAACTTGCTTTCTCTTTTCTAGTGCACAGTGGTATTTTTCAGGTGTTTATCTCATGGGAAAGTCAATATAGGATTGGCTAATCAAATTCCTCTAATGTTGTCACTATGTTGTAAATTAAAAAGGTGAGATTAGAGTGCCTTTAAAAAAGAAAAAACAGCAACACAGGTTTTCATCATTGTTGATACTTAAAAAATTCTTTACTATTTATTTGCTGAAATAGAGGAGTAGGAAAAGGAAGTGGAGACTTCAGTTATTTCTTATTCATAAACATCTACAGAATGTGAAATATAGATTATCATTCCACTTAAAAGCAAAAAAAAAAAAAAAAAAAATACTGTTTTTTTTCATGCTCCTCTTCCCAACATCCATTTGTTTCTGTACATCAGATCGCTGCATTTGTACTTAATCTGTGTGTCACATATTGAAAAGTCTCTGTTCGTTTAATTAATGAAAAAATCCTAGGATGCACTTGTGGTCTCCAGGATTCTCTTTTCCCTTTTCAGTCCCTGAAAATTACATAAATTGTACTGAAAGCTGGAATGCACTTTTGTAATTTGGAAGTCTCTCAATTGCATCACCAGTGCATGGTGGTGGAGTGATGGTTGTATGTGTCAGATGTCAACTTCGGTCAAGTGGCAAGAAACACAGCTGGGCTCTGTGCTCCATGTGAGGCAGATAGGGGTGACTGACTGAATTACTATCTTAGATATTTCTTAAAATCTAATCGTAATATAGAACAATAGGAGATACTTGCATATGATTTTAGGAGGAAAAAACATTTTGGACTTTTTATAATACTTACTGAGCTTAACACTTGTCACCATAGATCCGGTGAGAAATTCAAGGCTTGCTAATTCTGTTTGGAAGTCCATTCTTCTACTCTTACCTTTGGGATTACCCTTAAAGAAGCTTTTATGCTTCTCAGTATTATTTAATGTTGTTTTAGAATGTTAGAGTCAGTTTATATCTCTGTGTTTTGCTTGGCTTGTCAGTGCTTCCTGAAAAAAAATGTAACTTTAATGGGGGAAAAAAAGGATTTAGTGTGTTTGTTCTGTTTATGCACAGAGGTATCAGTCTAAAGTGATCCAGAAAGCTATCCAGCTAGTTACCCAGTGCTGAATAAAATTTTCATTGGTGTTTTTCAGATCTGAAGTGTAGGCAGTGAACAGCCTTGACTGATATTGAAGCAAGCACTGTTTTTCTCTCCTACCACTCCTTCCAGTAAGATTGACTTGGGATGCGTACCAGGCACAGTGCTGTGGTGGTGCTGCTTAGGTGCCCTAGATAAAATCAGCTGCCTCAGCTGGCACTGCAAACATGCAATGAACCTTCACGGGTGTAACTGCAATGATGGAACCAAAATCTGTGTCTCTTAGTAATTTATGCAAACTTTATTTGTGTTGTGTTTTAGCTCAGGTCAGCTTGTTTTCCTTCTCTTCTCCTGACAAATGGCACTATATTCTTTGCATTTGGAATGAATTGCATGTTATTTCTCAGAGATTAATGGCTCAATCTTATACGTGGTGTCTGTTGAGGTTGTTGCAGTGCACTGAACTGATGTTCAAAAGGGGTATGACAGTTGTCTGATGTACTCTTGATTTCAGGATATAGAAACTTAAAATAGAGGCGATCATTTCACTGAATTTCCATTTTGCTCTTAGTATGAGTGGAGCACTTAATTTCTTATTGTTTCATGGTTACTGAAGTGTTACAAATGAAGAACCTCTTAGGACTTAGCAGCCTTTAGAATTTTTGAACACAAAATGAGTACAGTTCTTCTCCTGGCTGAGGTGTATAAAGATGCAGTGTTTGCCAGCAAGCTGATTATGACAAGAAAGAGCTCTCTTAGTTACGTGCCTCGTACAAATACATCAGCTGTTTCAATAATTCTTTGCAGGGATTGCACTCTTCATATAGATACTTAAATCTTTCAAATAGGTATTTTACTACCTCTTTTTATAAAGCACAGAATTGTTTGCTGAGCTAACAGATGTTAGCTGTCAGTCACTTTAGAGATGCATCTCTCCTTAATGGCTAACTGTTAGATGCACTTGGTTCAATACTGTCACCTAAACCCTCTCTGTTCTCAGCTACTTCAATAAGGTTCACCTCAGCCTTCAGGAGAAATACAGTGTTTGGAAGGATGCTTGAAAGGCATTTTAAATAATTGAAAGTCAGAGCCAACAGCTATCTAGAAATTACTAGTGTCTGACTGGATTTCAGTGCGTGGGTAGATGTAGTGAATTCACCATTTATTTGCACTAACAAAAAAAAATTCATCTGATAAAAGTAAGTGTAAGATTTCTGAAGAAAACGAAGTCATGTTGAGGAATTTCCTTTTTTTTTTTTTTTTTTTGCAAATACAGTATTAAACATATTTTCTTGTGTAGAACTTTGTGTTCCTTCCTGAGTTGGTTAGGGAAGAAACATTACATGTCTTTGTTAGTTTCTGTGTATTCTCATGAATGCACATGGTGTTTCCAATAATGGTATTTGTTTTCTTTTGGACATTTATCTTTGCTTTTTACAATACTGTCTGTGTAATTGCTTCCCACTGCTGATCTTGAATGACTTCCATGGTAAATAGTCTTGTAATATGGCATCAGGCCCTTTTTTCACTCTTCACTGTCTGCTTTCCTTTTTAGATTATTTATACCTTATCTTTCAGGAGAACGAGAGTCTCAAGATTATCTACTTGTGTTCATTTTACTGTTGGTCTCTGAGAGAAGCCATTATTCACAGTTCATAATAAATAATTTGAGTTATTTGGGGACATTGTTCCTTCCTTCTTCTAGAAATTTGTATGTAATCTTGGTGCTTGTTCTTATATAACAAACATTATTTTTAAGGGTCTGAAATCTTGTGTAGCAGATGTGCCACCTGACTAAAGCCTATTTGATGGCTTAGCTGGATATTTGCCCCTACTTCATGCAATGAGAAATTACAGCCTGCCTGTTTCTAGGCAGTTGCATCAAGGGAGCACGACTTTGTCTGTGCAATGTGCAACCTTCTTTTTTATAGCATGGCTGAAGTATTACATAAAGTCAGTGCTTCCTACTGCTTGGAGCACGGCTTTCATCCAAACTGTTTTTAATTCCTCTCAGACTTTTTTTCCCTAGAAATAAAGGATCCCCTGCCCCCCCCAAAAAAAACAAAAACAACTCTTGGGACCTTTGTTTTCAGCTGCTTCTGCTGCTATAGCTGTTAGCCCTGTTGACTTCATTGACTAACAGTAATTCCTGCTCATCTGAACACCTCACCCTTTTATGACTGATTAGAGCATAACTGCACATGGATGGCACACAGATGGTTTGCAGCACACCAGCACTTGGTGATGGCTTTGTGAGGACTTCGCTAGGGTGGAGTATAGGAACAACTGGCTTTTGGAGGAGACTCTGCCCTTCTTTTCCTGCAGGAAAGTCACCTTCATGCCTGTCTCAAATGTGTTTTTGAAGCTTTTGCTGCTACGAGTTTTCTCAGTTCTCATTTCTATCCAGAGAAAATACATTGTTAACAGCTGCTTTGATCTTCAGGTGAAAAGAACTGGCAGCTCGAAATATACAAAGTAGTGCAGAGGAGGTTACTTGACCACTAAATGCTGCTTTTTGAGTTGCCTCTGTTCCATCCCACCTGCTTGTTTTACCTGTATTTTGAAATTCTAGGTAACATGTAAGAGAGCAGAGCTTTTAAGAATTTGTAATCCTCTGTGCAACGTACAGCAGGATTATTCTGCTTTCTCATAAGTAACTGTATGGACTTTCTGAAGAGCAGCGTTTCAACACAGTCCAGCAATGCCAAATCCTTCAAGTAGAAACACAGAGGCAACTATTGAGCAACAGTTACGGATATCAATCCTTTTTCTTCCTGCTTCAGCTATGCTTCTCTTATTCCTGGATGCTGGACAAAGATGCTCCTTTTCATCCTGCTCTTTTGTTGGCATGAAATTCCTGCAGTTCCCTCTGTACCAGATCTCATTCTCATGCAGAGAGTGAAGCCTACTGAGTGAAGCGAGGAATCTGCTCTGAGTTTGGGTTTTTTTGCTGTTTCTGTTTGTGAGTTGGTGTGTGTGTGTGTGTGTGTGTGTGTTTGAGTGATTTTGTTTGTTTTTGTTTGTATTGTTACTCTGGCAAATGTAGCAGAATAGTTTCCTGTTTGGGAATGCTAAAGCAACAGATGAGTGACTGCAAGGAGGAAACTCATAAATGTTTAGTGGTAGAATGAGAAATGAGACAAGCAGGTTCCTGTGCGTGACGCTATGGAAACATTTTTGACTTAGATCCCTCTCCTACTTTTAAGTACACTTTATTAAAACTTTCCCCAAATTCTGTCTCAAATCTCTTGGTGGATATAGATTGATTTCTATAGTTTTGGGAGCATTATGACTTCAGTACTAATACCGAGATGTAGCAACTCATTTTATTCTAGTTTGTCAATGAGTTTTGGTGCTCATCCTCGAGCTGCTTAAAATGGTAGTAGAACTCATAGCATTTGAGCAGATGAAAGTAAATCATACAGACCTGGGAACTTAGAGCTCATTCTTAATTTTTGTTTGTGTTACTGAAGCAAAAAATGTGTAAGACACTCATTCTGTGCTGAGATTTCTTCTCACACTTGAAGGTAATTGTCTGCAACTAGCTTGGATTTGCTGTTTGCAGACTGCACCACCTGGTGGTGAGGAGGCTTTTGGAAAAAATATTTTTAATTATTTTTAATTTGTAGACCTTCTCTTTAAAACTAACAGTAATTTCTCTCTTCATGTTTTGACACTCATTTTGGTCTAAGTAAAGGTAATGCAGCTGTCCCTTATGATTATCTCTCTAGGTCATTCAGCTTAGACACAATTAAAAGCCTCTCTTTATACTGTTTGCATCCGTACATGAATTCAGTGTAATGTTTTTGTGCGTTAACTTTATTAATGTTTCTGTGAACTCTTTTTGAAGGAGTTCTGTATTTGGAGTTCTGTAGCTAATGTCATCCCAGAGTTTATTTTGTTTTTCTTCTAATATAATTTTTATTTATCAATCACTCCTGCTTGTATGCT